TATTTATTATTATTTATGTATCACATCGGCAAATGTATGCGATAATCAAATTATTGTTTTAATCGATTTGTTTTCACTGTATATTCTCTAGGTATGGAAAGTGCGGGAATTCACGAAACACTTTACAACAGTATCTTGAAATGTGACATAGATATACGTCGAGATCTCTATGGCAACACGGTGTTGTCAGGCGGTAGCAGCATGTATCCAGGAATCGCTGACAGAATGCAGAAGGAAGTGACGTCCTTAGCACCCAGCACCATGAAAATTAAAATTATCGCTCCGCCTGAGAGAAAGTATTCCGTGTGGATCGGTGGTTCCATCTTGTCTTCTCTCTCAACCTTCCAACAGATGTGGGTCAGTAAACAGGAGTACGACGAGTCCGGTCCTGGTATCATTCACCGAAAATGTTTTTAGTTTAACAAACCATTTGGGTAAATTAATTGTTTTAAAGCCACGATCAACTGCGTGACTTTACGTACTAGTATATGATATTTATTGTCATCATATGCATATGTGAGTAAACTGACGGGATTAAATAAGTCAAAAGTCGACTTGCGTGTGCGGGGAATCATTGGCAACTATTGGCAATGTGTGTACACTCGGAATTTGATGCGACATAAATAATACCAATGTTTTGTGTTTTGTTTTTGTTTTTTATGAAATTTCGTATAAATTATGAAACGAAAACAAATTTATGTTTTATCATTGTATTCAGACAAATTACGCTACACGTTTGCTGACGTAATTGTCAGTAGAACCAAACACACGTTGTTTTCTACACACGTGTTCTTAATATTTACATATTAGAAAGCATTGGGCTGAACATATTTAATTCATGCATTAATTTTCCATTCTCGAGTCTTAAATATTTTATCATCATTTTATCAATATTATTTTTCCAATGTTAAGCGACAATGTAGTACTTTACTTGCAATACAGTATAATATATGTATAAAAATAATTCAACTTTAACATGTGTTTGTCTTTATTCGAAATGTCCAATGTATATACGCATCGCACTCTTCGAAATAAATGTGAGACATGAGTTTGGAGAGCACATGATATCTCGTTATATCGATGCAATCTCATTCTTCAAAACTAACTACCTGCTGAAATGTAATACTCAGTGGCGGTGGTACAGGGGGCGCAAAGGGGGCGGTCGCCCCATGGAAAAAATTTTCGGCCCCTCCAAAATCAAGCTGAACTCCTTTGTGTCAGCAAAATTTGCCCCTCAAAATACAGGAAATAGCGATTCAGAGGGTCTAGATTTCAATTTTTTAAGAGGAGCATGCACCGGACTCCCCTAGTAAGGTTGGTGAGCAGATTTCGCCCCATGCAAAATGTCGTGCCGCCGCCTCTGACCATTAAACATCGATCTAATTTACTTTACAATTTTCTTCAGCCACAGCTTTAAGTTTCATTTCACCAGCACATCAGCGCAAATAAAAAGATTTTGGAAACTCATCTGATTAAAAACCAAGAGGTCTAACTAAGTCTAACATCATCATACAACCCAAACTACAAAGTGGTCGTGATACTTATTCTGACGTTTGAGTCGTGAGTGTAACGTGGATCAGACGATGACGACGCGACGTCGGTTCAGACTAATTGTTTAATATAATTAATATAAATTATAACTTGAACTAATTTATCACCATGAATCAGTAAAGGTCTGCAAATTTGAAATGCATAGATTTGAATAAATTCTGATTTGTGGGGCGTAGATAGTCAGTTTATTCTTCGCAGGCGTCTATTGTGTAGTAGTTACGTAACATAATGGGAATATTTAGTAAATTGACCTCAAAACAATTTTGTTTCCAAGTTGATAACAGAATGTCATTTGCATACGAGTTATGTCTACAACAACAACAACAACAACAACAGCATGTGATGTAACGAATGAGAACATCGTTCTCTATGGGTAAATGTTTATCTGTAATACATCTTGTCTCTGTACACCATTGACTCGAATCCAAATTCGTTAAGGATAGCTTCAAGAATTTCGACCCTGAACAAGCGTGAATTGCCAAAAATCACTGGCTTTCCCTTTGACCATAAACAACGTCTTACAAAAGCAGATTTTGTTTTTTTTAAATCTACGTCAATGTTTGTAATGGTCAAACCGAGTGACCAGTTACGTCTTTCAAATAGATAGAATATGTTAAGAATTGACTACTATTTATAATGTATGTCAATTGGTATTGCATAGTACTAGTATTTACTTCTGCCATTTCATATTCTACATTTATGCGCAGTGGTACATTGTCGTCGGAACAATCATATCATCTATTGACAAAAAATGGCAATATTCCTACCATGAATTACTCGACTTAAGCCCTAGATATACCGATTTAAATGTGTAGTTCCAATTGATATTTCCATCATTCCACAAAAAAGTTGTATGTTGTAGAGGTAAAGCATGTTAATTTGACAATGAATTGTATTCAAGAAATTATCAAGATGTACTATCGAACACAATTATATACAAACGCTTATGAAATATTCAAAGAGGTGGATATCCTGAAAGAGGACCCAGACTACACACTGCTACCCAGTAAGCAATGTCTAGCCGAACAACTGAACAATATTTGGTAATGTAACACTCGGAAAAATTGCAGATACATGCGTGAAACCAATGCTATAATAAGCTATTTGACGACATGCCACGGAGAAGCAGTACATCAAGTGAAAAAAACAACAAATACTTGGTATAACCTTCAACGCCAATGGCACGATTCAACTATCATTAAATAGTCAATGAAAGACGAGCAGAAAAAACACAATCATCAATCTTCAGGGTCTGTGTACAAATAATGGAATGCAACTTGTATTGAAAAATCTCATCTCACATTTTTAGACACATCTTGAATACCTGCAAGGGTGCAAATTTGTAATACAATTCATTTACATATTACAGGTTTTTAATAACATCGAAGGAAAACAATATAACATACAATGATTGAAACGCAATGATCAATGGCTTTCAAAACAAAAATTAAAAATGAATACAGTAGATACAGAATAGTACAGCAGATTCAAAACTTATTACATATCAGCTTTTAAAAAAAGAGTAGAGCAGTTGAATTATAAACAGGCGATTAATTTTCTAAATACTTTCAGATTGAGTAGCCACAAATCAAACACTGAAACTGGTGGAAATACATAACACTACAACAAATGCTAAAAACTGAAAAGCATCAAATGCCATGACGAGCACAGATACATTTATATGCATTACAAATGCCTACAGTCTATACAATAATAGAGCTGATGATGACATAATAGTTTTGTGTTTTGTGAAAAAGCTTTTTTTATTCTATGTATGTGAAAACTATTTTTTTAAATGTGTTTAAAGGTGTAAAAATCATATTCTATTCTATTCTATTCTATTCTATTCTATTCTATTCTATTCTATTCTATTCTATTCTATTCTATTCTATTCTATTCTATTCTATTCTATTCCATTCCATTCCATTCCATTCCATTCCATTCCATTCTATTCTATTCTATTCTATTCTATTCTATTCTATTCTATTCTATTCTATTCTATTCTATAAAGATTATAAAATGGGACGATCAGTACATGTGCAAATATCTAGTATTAAGCGCATTTAAGTAAGCAGCAGTAACTCATTTGCAATTCTAATCATGTCGACTGTTGTTGGTCTCATATAATCACAGTTGAGTAAGCAGCTCCAGGAGCAGATCATCTAAACAATATATATAAATGCTAACCCGGAGGTAGCTGTATTGTCATCATTATATTAACATTACAGTGTTACTATATTCTACCTCAGGTGAGTACAAATGAATAAACGTACGTGATAATATGGCACTATCGTAATATTAAATTATGTTCATATTGTGGACCGATTAAGTGAAGTTGGTTTCGGTTTCTCCTTGCTCATCAATTTCGGATTGTCAATTCAACTTACGATTGTTTTTCCATGATCATTATTTCAAGGGTTAGCATAATTACATATTCGGAAGGAAGGTTTTTGTGAGGTCATCATCAAAACAGTTTCGTTATCAAACTAGCTTGTTTATATTAAAATATTATAAATGATATTTTCATTGTTTTTGATTTTGACTAAATTGAGATTTCGATGATTAATTTCACTTTAAATTATTTTCAAAACATCCCTTATTTTTATTTAGGGTACAATGAAAACAAAATGCTTCAGTAGATAAGTTCGCACAACTGTGGTTCGGATTATGAATCGAATGAATAGTACTTATGCAAATATTTGTTATTAACTCATTTGTAATTCTAATAATGTTGACTAATTTGACCTCATATTGATATGATCTCGGTTGGACAAGCAGCTCCAGAAGCAGATCATCCAAACAATATATTATATAACTGCTGACTCGGAGGTAGCTGTATTGTCATCATTACATTAACATTACAGTGTTACTATATTCTACCTCAGGTGAGTACAAATAAGTACTGCAAAGGGGTTAATTATTCACTGGGTTTTAATTTTGTTTATTTCGCTGACTGGAAAATGCGCTAAATTAAAACCCAGTGAATATGTAAAAATGAGCATAGAACACATTATCTAAATGATAAAACCGTGAATTTAAAACCCACTGAATATGCCTGAAATGGTAAATCAGCGAAATTTAAACCCAGTGAAAATTCACAGTAATTATATAGTATACATTATAATATGGCGCTATCGTAATATTAAACTATGTGCATGTTAGTATAGTTACATAGCAGTTTCGTTATCCATATCCATAATATCCGTTATATATCCAATATTAATCTACCTAACGGAAATACTGTGAGCGATAATTCTATGAAAACAAAATGTTTCCGTAGATAGTTTCGTACAACTGTGGTTCGGATTATGAATCGAGTGAATACCGTAGTACTTATGCAAATATCGGTTATTAACTCATTTGTTATTCTAATAATGTTGACTAATTTGACCTCATATTGATATGATCGTGGCTGGGCAAGCAGCTCCAGAAGCAGATCATGCAAACGATGTATGTATTTAGAGTGTTAGTGCCATGTAGTGGTGATTTTGTAAACTTTGTTGAGGTAAAAAGTCAGACGACATCATTAGATCTGCATCAAAATAGGTAAGTTTTGCTTATCAAAAATTAACCATTTGCCACTAAATGCGGTCCCCTAATACATTGCGGTATCCTGACGTCATAAGTAAGAAGCTCCCTGATTGGTTCCCCCTTTTCAAGAAGGAAAGGCACTCTGATTAGCCAGTCATTACCATCAAAAATCCGCATGACTCTACCAAGTCCACCACGGTTTTTAGAGGATGGGACAGTTAGGAGTCGCTGCAAGAGGGCGGAGTAAACAATGATGGATCATGTGATGGTTATCAGGTTGTTCATTCCAATGTAAACGTAGCAAAGAACAGTTCGAATGTGACGTCAATATTCTT